GCTATTAACTCTTGTGTTACGTCTAACACTGACATAGCATTTGATGTCATTTTGATTGACATTAAATGCATGAATATTTGTTTGCTTAACGAATAGCTGCCATAACTTAAGCCTAAAAGACATTTGTCGGGCGAAGTTTGAAAGCGAGAGAATCGAGAATCCAAACCATAGACTGACTACACTTCCTATAAAACTCAAGTACTCTTCGAAACTCATTTTCAACGATATCTCATAGGTAGTGGTGGGTTCGGTGGGGAACTGGATGGTCATCTGATACGAGTTGTTGTTATAGACATTCTCAAAGCTAGTATCCAGTGAATAGTAGTATTGAATGCACTCATCCCTGTCCCCACACTTCCACTTACAGTCTTCTTCTATGTCAGTGTCGGACGTCTTATTAAAATACCTCTCATTACTGATTGATATACCGTTGAACTTCTTGTAAATCAAATTTCTTGAGCTCTGATTCGTGTGTTTCGCGAAATAAGCGCTTATTTCGCACTCAAACTCACACTCCGGTCGAGTCTGTTGTCCCTCAAGACAACTGTATTTATAATTATTAAGTTTGTATAAGTGTTTCAAAACTGTTTGCCTGTATTTCATACGATATACCGTTGTGTCCGTGTATCGCAGGGTTAGGAAACCCTTTTTGTGGGACCGGTAGATACGCTCTTCAGGGAAATGGATGTGTAATGCAATGTCTTTTGTAGCCAACATAGTTTCCACCGGGATCTTTATTACAAATGATTCCATGGGTCCACCGCCACCAGGAGGTCCACCACCAGGAGGTCCACCCCTACCACCAGGAGACCTCTTCTCACGTTTGTGTCCAGATCTTTGTGCACCGTTTGTTTCAGACTTATTGCCATTTCCATATCCATGATCTGGTCCACCCTCGCGGTCTGGTTCATGTTCGGAGTCAGACCCCCCTCCAGGACCATCCCCTGGTCCACCTCCACTATCACTTCCAGGTCCATCTTCTCTATCACCTCCAGGACCACCTTTGCCTTCACCTCCAGGCCCTCCATCATGTCCTCCTGGTCCGCCTCCAGGTTTATGTTCTGATGGCCCCCCATGTCCCCCATTATGCCCTCCTCTATGTCCACCTTTAGGCTCTCGTCCAGGTCCATGTCCAGGTCCATGTCCATGTCCATGTCCATGTCCATGTCCTGGTCCATGTGGTTGGTGTTGACTGTGACCAGATATCTGGTTTTTGTCCCTCGAGAATATGGTTATACAGTAGTACTGACCCGATATTGAGTGCAAGTATTGCCCACTTTTAGAGCATTTACTCTTTTCGTCTTCATCTTTGTTTCCCTGAGTGTTCACTAAACACTCAAATTGTTTCTCAAATGTCTTCACGGATTCAAACTGTGATCTGATTGACATATTGTTATTAAATGCATCAAAGCTAATGTTACCAGGGTTATTTTTGTTACTTGACAGNGGGTATGGGTGCCCTCAATGGTTATCCTTAGGAAACCGATGTCCGCGAAGGTATTCTCGGGTAAAGACTCTAAGGTTTTGCTATTAATGATTAAATCTATAAAGTCTTTGTTTTTTGAGGTCATATTAGCGCTCAATCTTTCAAATATGGGCTTCAGATCCCGGGCCTCATCACTACTACAGTATATGAGTGATGCGAGACAAGTGCAGGGGTTTGTAACATGAGGTTCGGGACATTCGGCACATGTGGTCACTCCCACACTCATGAGCACCACAACCACTGTTTCATTAAATAATAATTTTTATTATTTGATAATAATTTTTATAATGTTAATTTTACTTACAATCATGGATTAATGAATTCATTTGTTATCAATGATAAATAGTTTTGTTTTTAATTTTAATTTTGTTATTGCATTTAATACAGTAATTATTAATTTCTTGAAAATATTTTTAAAACAATTACACTCAATGTTCATTTAGTATTACATGTTACAGAATTTAGAAAGTTTGCATGTTACATTTTGATGTAAAGTACTAATTGTGTAAATAAAATAGACCATTAAAAATAGTTTTGAAAAGTATCAAACTGAATAAATATGTTTTACTAACTATGTAATATCGTGATTTGTAACATATATTATTATTATAATACAGTATCATAAGTAAAATATCATATTATAACAAAACTTTATATTATTGCTATGATACCATAATTGTTAACTTAATTTATTTGTCTGAATGATTTCTACTTATTGAATGACTTGAAAAATTCACATATTGTTTACCCTATACTTACAAATTTAGTGGCGCGGACCAGGAGGACATGATGGAGGGCCTGGAGGTGAAGGCAAAGGTGGTCCTGGAGGTGATAGAGAAGATGGACCTGGAAGTGATAGTGGAGGTGGACCAGGGGATGGTCCTGGAGGGGGGTCTGACTCCGAACATGAACCAGACCGCGAGGGTGGACCAGATCATGGATATGGAAATGGCAATAAGTCTGAAACAAACGGTGCACAAAGATCTGGACACAAACGTGAGAAGAGGTCTCCTGGTGGTAGGGGTGGACCTCCTGGTGGTGGACCTCCTGGTGGCGGTGGACCCATGGAATCATTTGTAATAAAGATCCCGGTGGAAACTATGTTGGCTACAAAAGACATTGCATTACACATCCATTTCCCTGAAGAGCGTATCTACCGGTCCCACAAAAAGGGTTTCCTAACCCTGCGATACACGGACACAACGGTATATCGTATGAAATACAGGCAAACAGTTTTGAAACACTTATACAAACTTAATAATTATAAATACAGTTGTCTTGAGGGACAACAGACTCGACCGGAGTGTGAGTTTGAGTGCGAAATAAGCGCTTATTTCGCGAAACACACGAATCAGAGCTCAAGAAATTTGATTTACAAGAAGTTCAACGGTATATCAATCAGTAATGAGAGGTATTTTAATAAGACGTCCGACACTGACATAGAAGAAGACTGTAAGTGGAAGTGTGGGGACAGGGATGAGTGCATTCAATACTACTATTCACTGGATACTAGCTTTGAGAATGTCTATAACAACAACTCGTATCAGATGACCATCCAGTTCCCCACCGAACCCACCACTACCTATGAGATATCGTTGAAAATGAGTTTCGAAGAGTACTTGAGTTTTATAGGAAGTGTAGTCAGTCTATGGTTTGGATTCTCGATTCTCTCGCTTTCAAACTTCGCCCGACAAATGTCTTTTAGGCTTAAGTTATGGCAGCTATTCGTTAAGCAAACAAATATTCATGCATTTAATGTCAATCAAAATGACATCAAATGCTATGTCAGTGTTAGACGTAACACAAGAGTTAATAGCATTAACAGTATTATCATGAAGCGCCACTAAATTTGTAAGTATAGGGTAAACAATATGTGAATTTTTCAAGTCATTCAATAAGTAGAAATAATTCAGACAAATAAATTAAGTTAAAAATTATGGTATCAATGCAATAATATAAAGTTTTGTTATAATATGATATTTTACTTATGATACTGTATTATAATAATATATGTTACAAATCACGATATTACATAGTTAGTAAAACATATTTATTCAGCTTGATACTTTTCAAAACTATTTTTAATGGTCTATTTTATTTACACAATTAGTACTTTACATGAAAATGTAACATGCAAACTTTCTAAATTCTGTAACATGTAATACTAAATGAACATTGAGTGTAATTGTTTTAAAAATATTTTCAAGAAATTAATAATTACTGTATTAAATGCAATAACAAAATTAAAATTAAAGACAAAACTATTTATCATTAGTAACAAATGAATTCATTAATCCATGATTGTAAGTAAAATTAACATTATAAAAATTATTATCAAATAATAAAAATTATTATTTAATGAAACAGTGGTTGTGGTGCTCATGAGTGTGGGAGTGACCACATGTGCCGAATGTCCCGAACCTCATGTTACAAACCCCTGCACTTGTCTCGCATCAGTCATACACTGTAGTAGTGATGAGGCCCGGGATCTGAAGCCCATATTTGAAAGATTGAGCGCTAATATGACCTCAAAAAACAAAGACTTTATGGATTTAGTCATTAATAGCAAAACCTTAGAGTCTTTACCCGAGAATACCTTCGCGGACATCGGTTTCCTAAGGATAACCATTGAGGGCATCCATACCCTCAAACACATCCACACCAACGCCTTCGGGGATTCATATAAAACGGTCATTTCTCTCAAAATAACTAACAGTCCTAATCTGGACACCAGTAACTTGTTTGATATAATCAATAAGTTTACAAATGTTATGACAATTACTATAAGAGGAATCAATCTGAAGACAATCCCTGCAAATGCTTTCAAGAATTTACCACAACTTTATAAATTAGACATCTCTGGCCGTTCAATTGCAAAAATAGGCACAAGGCCATTTTATGAGTTAGACTCAATTGAATTTATAAAAATAGTCAACACATCAGTCAATCATATATCGCACGAAGTGTTTGTGTTTCGCAATCAAACTAAACCTAACCTTAAAATTTGGTTGTATGGCAATAGGGGACTGGATGGGTCCACGTATGATAGAAATACGTTCACACAAACTCATGGATCAGTTACGATAGACTTTACCGGTTTTGAGTATTACGATAATAAATGTCAAATCAAGTTCTTGGACGAGTGGATATTCAAGCCATTCCTGATGGCTAATCCCAATAATACAGTTAATATATATAATCAGAGATTAGATTGCAACGATTGTCGTAATAAGTGGCTTAAAAAGAATCCAGATCACTTGAAACAAGTAATAGTCAGCTACTGTTCGAGTGGTTTGGAGTTTAAAAATGAGTTTAACAACTTTGACAAGTGTTATGATCGCAAACTAATTAATACAACCAAAAACCAAAAATCATCAAATTCTGCAAATACACTGAAAATGATGTATGCTCAAGCAATTGCTTTTATTATAATGACTAAATTATTGTGAATTTTATTATATAATAAAATTATTTATAATTTTTGTTATGAATTTTTTTTATTGAAATTAGAGTTTCTAATACTATAGTTAAATACTATAGTTAAATATTCTGTAATTAAACATAATAAACATTTATATTATGAACATTTAGCGAAATTTTTAGTATCAGTAAACTCGAGACCATTAGAGCACTTGAGGTTTATTAATCTCTTCAAGTAATCCTCATTCTTCTTAAGCCAATAATTGCGACAATCATTACAATCAAATTTTTGGTCAACCATATTTATGCCATTCTTGGGATTAGCCATAAGAAAGGGCTTAAACTTGGATTCATCTAAAAACTGCATCTGATTAGGACTCGTGTAAAATCCATTTCCACCAAAATCTAACATAACTGATCCGCCAGTCTTCGTGAACGCATTTTCATCAAACGATTGTCCATTTAGTTTGGGATTATCATACAAACCAATCATAAGCTGTGATTGACTATTATTCCTAAATACAAACACATTCTGCGGTATATATTTGATTGAAGTCTTAAAAACCTCCACTTTTCTCAAAGCATTTAATTCGTAAAAAGGTTTTTCTCCAATAGTTTCGATACTTTGGCCATAAATGATAACTTCTTCGAGTTTCGGTAACTCTTTAAAAGCGTTTGCGGGAATAGTCTTCAAATTAATGTCACCGAAACTGAATTGCTGGCAGTTTTCAAACTTGTTGAATATATCATACAAATTGGTGGCGTCATATTTAGGACTGTCCCCCCAAAAGATAAAGGAAATGGTGTTTTTCGGTGTGATTGCCCCGAAGGCGTTGGTGTGGATGTGCTTGAGTTTACTGGCGCCCCAAATGGTGATCCGTTGGAAACTGATGTCTGAAAAGGCATTCTCCGGTATGGACTCAATAGTATCGCCACCAATCTTTAAATCAATGAATTGTTTATCACCAGGATCAGTTATATTAGCGCTGATTCTCTCAAATATGGGCTTCAGATCCCGGACCCCGTCTCTGCACGCAATTACATAGCCATTACATTCACATGGCTTTACTATCTCAGGGTCTGGACACCGGTCACAATGGGTCAGTCCGATAGCACTTAGTATTATAACAAGTGCTTGATTTAAAATACCTGTAATAATGTTAATTATTAACTATTAGTTTGTTTATAAAATATTTTTACTTACAAGCAAACCCAATTATATTCATTTTATTACGAATTCTTTAGTGTTTTTCAAAACTATGTAATTATCTATCATTTAAAGTTTATACCTATTTATAATAATTTGAAACCTAAAATGATAAAATTTCCTATTGTTTTTGAGATGGTATTATTGATAAATAATAATGCAATCAATGTAAAAGTAAAAATTTATTGTTTAATGCTTTTCATATACCGTATTTAACAAATATTTATTCAGTCTAACATAAAAACACGTCAAATCGACTTTAAAAAGGCTCAATTTTAAGTACAGTATAATATGTTTTAAGTGAAATATTCTTAATATGTTAAACAATTTAGATTTCTCTCTAGGTTAATTATATAAAAAATACATAATGTTTAAAAGTTTTTGTTAGATACACATTATTATGAACATTTAAAAAATTAGTAATACATTTACAGTTAAAGTATACAGTATAGTGACTAATGAACAAAATCCATATATTAACTATTGATTATTTAATATTAATATTGTATATAAGTTGGACTTTATTTGCCATTGCTTTGGTTTATCAATCATGATTAATTTTTTAAATATTACTAATAATCTTGGTGAAAATGTTTGAATTAAAATATTACTCATAAAATACAAATTCATGAATGAAATAAATAATTAAAACAAGAATATTGCTTTATATACAAAACATATAAGGAATATTTATATAATAAAAAATTCATATAAAATCCGCCAGGTCCTATTGGCACGGCTCACCCTACCAAACTTATTAGAAATATTAATAAGATTAATTCAATACTAGTTTTATTTTGTTTTGCGAAATTACAATGGCGCTCCCCCTTTTTAGCGAAATTTTTAATATCAGTAAACTCGAGACCATTAGAGCACTTGAGGTTTAATAATCTCTTCAAGTAATCCTCATTCCTCTTAAGCCAATAATTGCGACAATCATTACAATCAAATTTCTGCTTAATCATATTTATGCCATTCTTCGGATCAGCCATAAGAAAGGGCTTAAACTTGGATTCATCTAAAAACTGCATCTGATTAGGATCCGTGTAATATCTATTTCCACCAAAATCTAACATAACTGATCCGCCAGTCTTTGTGAACGCATTTTCATCAAACGACTGTCCATTTAGTTTGGGATTAGCATACAAACCAATCTTAAGCTGTGATTGACTATTATTTCTAAATACAAACACATTCTGCGGTATATATTTGATTGAAGTCTTATAAACCTCCACGTTTCTCAAAGCATTTAATTCGAAAAAAGGTTTCTCACCAATAGTTTCGATACTTTGTCCATAAATGATAACTTCTTCTAGTTTTGGTAACTCTTTGAAAGCGTTTGCGGGAATAGTCTTCAGATTAATGTCACCGAAACTGAATTGCTGGCAGTTTTCAAACTTGTTAAATATATCATACAAATTGGTGGCGTCATAGTTAGGACTGTCCCCCCAAAAGACAAAGGAAATGGTGTTTTTCGGTGTGATTGGTCCGAAGGCGTTGGTGTGGATGTGCTTGAGTTTACTGACGCCCCAAATGGCGATCCGTTGGAAACTGATGTCTGAAAAGGCATTCTCCGGTATGGACTCAATAGTATCGCCACCAATAATTAACTCAATGAATTGTTTGACACCAGGATCAGTTATATTAGCGCTGATTCTCTCAAATATGGGCTTCAGATCCCGGACCCCGTCTCCGCACGAAATTTCATAGCCATCACATTTGCACGGCTTTACTATCTCAGGGTCTGGACACCGGTCACAAAGGGTCAGTCCGATAGCACTTAGTATTATAACAAGTGCTTGAATTATAATACCTGTAAATATAGTAATGTTAATTGTTAACTATCAGTTTATTTATAAAATATTTGTACTCACAAGCAAACCCAATTTTATTCATTTTATTACGAATTCTTTAGTGTTTTCAAAATTATATTATAGATATCTATTATTCAAAGTTCCTAATAGGAAGGTCAACTTCCTATCTATTTATAATAAATTGAAACCTAAAATTATAAAATTTCCATAGAAAGTTATTATTGATCAATAATAATGCAATTAATTTAAAAGTAAAAATAAGTTGTTTAACGCGTTTCATATATTTACGAATATTTATTCAGTTTATCATCAAAACAAGTCTAATCAACTTTTAAAAACTCAATTTTATGTACAGTATTATATGTTTTAAGTGAAATATTCTTAATATGTTAAACAATTTAGATTTCTCTCTAGGTTAATTATATAAAAAATACATAATGTTTAAAAGTTTTTGTTAGATACACATTATTATGAACATTTTAAAAATATATGTTTTAAGTGAAATATTCTTAATATGTTAAACAATTTAGATTTCTCTCTAGGTTAATTATATAAAAAATACATAATGTTTAAAAGTTTTTGTTAGATACACATTATTATGAACATTTAAAAAATTAGTAATACATTTACAGTTAAAGTATACAGTATAGTGACTAATGAACAAAATCCATATATTAACTATTGATTATTTAATATTAATATTGTATATAAGTTGGACTTTATTTGCCATTGCTTTGGTTTATCAATCATGATTAATTTTTTAAATATTACTAATAATCTTGGTGAAAATGTTTGAATTAAAATATTACTCATAAAATACAAATTCATGAATGAAATAAATAATTAAAACAAGAATATTGCTTTATATACAAAACATATAAGGAATATTTATATAATAAAAAATTCATATAAAATCCGCCAGGTCCTATTGGCACGGCTCACCCTACCAAACTTATTAGAAATATTAATAAGATTAATTCAATACTAGTTTTATTTTGTTTTGCGAAATTACAATGGCGCTCCCCCTTTTTAGCGAAATTTTTAATATCAGTAAACTCGAGACCATTAGAGCACTTGAGGTTTAATAATCTCTTCAAGTAATCCTCATTCCTCTTAAGCCAATAATTGCGACAATCATTACAATCAAATTTCTGCTTAATCATATTTATGCCATTCTTCGGATCAGCCATAAGAAAGGGCTTAAACTTGGATTCATCTAAAAA